ATAGCGAAAAAATCTTTAGAACCCTAATTCCCAAGAACAACAGGGTCATGATTAATCAAATAAATATGCAAGCATCCTCAGGTATGGAGATTCAAATTTGTTCAAATCATTGCCCCTGGAGGTAGGGTGAGGCCACAATAGGAATTAAAGTTTTACATGGGGATATATAGGGTATTTTTTTTCAAGAACTAAAGGACCATGTTTACATATAAGGTCATCTGACTTTACTCAGGTGACATATTGCTATCTGTTTTCATCCGTCGTAGTGCGTTAACATTTAAGCCTGTACACGAACCACTGAACCAATTTCAACCCATTTTGGCCTATAGCATCTATGGGTGAAGAGGGGTAAAATTGTGAAATTCGTGGCCCCTGTCCCCTGGGGCTGAGGGGTGGGGCTAAAACCATCAAATTAATACTATCTTTAAAATTCTTCTTCTTGACTCCTGGATATCAAGCAGCCAAACCGTTGGCTTGATTGTGATTACAATTGAGCCTTCTAACAAAATTGTGAAATTCATCGCCCCAGGGTCAGGGGTTCTGTTAAATATATAGCGAAAATGCATTATTACTTAAAAATCTTCTAATCTGCTCCTGGGTATTAAGCAAACAAACCAAATGCATAGTTATGATGAGGAATGGTGCCTTTCCAAAATTGTGAATTTCAAGGCCCCTGGGTCAGGGATTCTGATGCTAGGGCGGAACTCTAACAATTATACAATGTATGTGATGCATTAATTCTTTGATAATCTTTTTTGCTCCTGAGTATTAAGCCGATGAACTAAGTACATGTACATAGTTATGTTGAGGAAGGGTGCCTCTTCCAAAATTGTGAAAGATGTTGCCCCTGTGTCAGGGGTTCCATGGGGGAGACTTAATGGGCGATCTCGTCTTTTACTTATCACTTGTGGGCAAAGTCACTGAAATAATGTTTAATATGCCAGTTCATTCGGGGTATCCGACAGTGTCTTCTCCACTGCCCCTGAGTATTAAGCAAACAGACTAAATGCAATAATAAAAAATGAAATCGTATAAATATAAGCAAACGTACCTTTTCGCTGCTCCTGGTATCTAGGAAGCAAAAGAGTACAAAATTGTAATAAGTGAAGCAAATGAGAGTTACTCCCCTTTGCTAAATTGTGTTAAATCAAGACATCAATTAACCGGTTACTCAGTATTTGATGGAATGAGAATACAAGAAAGAATGTTATATATATAGGAACAAAATAAAAATGAATGTTTGGTTTAAACGAAAAAAGCATACTCGAAGTCGGACTCTTGCCTGGAAAGCAGTATAAAAGATTGAAAAAAAAAAAGATTATCTATGTAGCAAAAGGACCAATCTTACTCAGTATGTGTATACTGCAGTGTTCTGTTGGACAATTGACGACTTGTTGTAAGGTAAATTTATGGAGATCAGAGATTAGTTGGCAAGAGATTGCAGAAAGTTTCCTTATACTTTATCAAAGTGAAAAGAGAGCCCGGGTGACTAGGGCACATGTTGTAGTTACTGACAAGTGGCAAATAGCCATGTTTTATACTAAACCAAGAGGAGAGTGCTGGTAAGAAGTATTACCCAGTTTTTGTATAGCCAAGAGGCAAGTGTTGGTACCAAGTGTTACCAAATGGCAAGCAGCTAAGTTGTTTGTGTAGCCTAGAGGCATCACATCGAGTAAATATACAACCATTAGATATTTCTCTTTTTGTACTTAATTGTAGGCAAGTGACAAAAACATTTCTGTATATATTAAATAATTTACACGTTAAGCAAATGTTCAGTGTACACGTTTTTATATATTTTGCAACCAATATCATCCCTGTAAGACTTGGGAAAACCAAGAACGATCCCAAGGAGATCACTCGGGTCTGGCACGTTACAATAAGCACGGTTTTTTAAGGACATTTTTGAAATTCTTGCACTGTAAAAAATGTGTTTACAATTCAAACACTTTTCTAAACACTTTTTTGTCACCTCCTTTTTTATATGTTTAATTTCTAAACATGTAAAATTCCTAAACATGTCTTAGAAAGTGTTTAGAATTTAAACACTTGTGTGCTTAGAAATTAAACATATCTAAACACATAAACACAAGTGTTTAAATTCTAAACACATAACAGCAGATGTGTTTAAAATCTAAACACATCAACTATAATTTGTACCTAGAGAAACAAAACACTCTCGTAAATTTAGGCACAAAAAGTATATGTTTTTTAAATGCGCATAATTGTCAAAATTTTCAAAATATGTAACGAATATTAATTATTTTCCATAAAGCAACTGAACTTTGGGATATGTATCTAATTATACAATGCAATATAATGGACACTGTGCGATGTACATGTACTTAATTTACACAAATAATGTAGGAGATAGAACTGAATAGATTTGATTAGTCTCAACAAATCAATCAGAATGACACATAATTAAAAACGTACACATAGATAACAAACTTTTAATCTTCAAAATTATTAAGAAAATAATATTAAGCTGACAATTTGATATCAAAACTTCATAATCATTGAATATTTCTAAAAGGCTTTATTAAAGGATTTTTAAATGAAAAATACAAAATGTATATTTATATATATATGTATTATAATCATTATAATTTGAATCGGCTGCAGAGTTTTCCTCATGTCAATCACAAAAAATATCAAATTTTGTTAACTTTCAGCAAGTCCCAAAGCACCACATATTATAATTTATATCCCATCAATAACTGCCAGAAAGTGATCCATTTCGAATGCACGAGGATAATTGTAAACACTGTCGAATTAACTCAGTAGTCTTCAACAAATGAAGTTTCAAAGTGTTGATTATGGAACAACAAAATTGCACTTGAAGATGACACCAGGTACTCTGATACGTGTATTCTGAGTTCGATCTGGAAATCAGTACCTGTAGGAAAGAAAGCCAGATTGTAGTAAAAGTACACTATCACTGATATTTTATGTAACTTAGAAAAACAAAATTGTTCAAGTTTTAGTGAAACTATACTGATATAAATATAGATTTTTTTAATGACATTTAATATTATTTCCTCTCCTGCAAGTCTATGAACGAATTCAAGATATCCCAAGTCAACTTTATTTACGTTGCTCATCGTGGTTAATTAATGCAAAGAAGAAGAAAACAAACCTTTAATGTATTGTAGTAACAAGATGCCCTTTCACGTATTTCACTATTTCGTCATGGTTATCCCTTGAACTGGGTTGTCATAACTCTCATTGATACATCACCTTAGCTTGTTGTGCTTTCTTTGTTTAGATAGCCGCTCAAATTAACGTTCAAATATATGTGTGTCATTTCCGGGAGGATAACTCTGCACTTTACAGTAAACGTGTTTAATTTCTAAACGCGTTTAGATATAAAACATGTTAAGACATAAGTGTTTAGTTGTTAAACACAATACTATACACGTTTAGATCTAAACATGTAAAAGAAGTGTTTATTTCCTAAACACAATTTTTACAGTGTGGGCAACATACCTTCGTTTATCAGATAATTTTGTTTTATATTTCTATGGATCCTTTACAGTGTTGTATTAGACGCAGGTGACCGTTAAGGCCCTTGGGCCTCTTGTGTTAATATGCAAGCATTCTCAGGTAATGCAGATTCAAATTTGTTTAAATAATGACCCCGATGGATAGAGTTGACCCACAATAGGAGATTAAAGTTTAGCATGGAACTATTCCAGAAATCTAAAAAAAAAAAAAATCCCACTTACAAGTAGAAAATGACTAGTCATATAAATACGAAAGCATCCTCAGGTAGTGCAGATAAAAGTTTAACCAAATCATTGTCCCTGAGGTTGGGTTGGGCCATAATAGGAGACGGAAGATTTACATGAGAAAATATAGGGAAAATATTTAAGAATCTCTGAAGAAGAAAAGCAGGACATTGACGTCATATTAATATGCAAGTCCTCAGTAATGTAGATTCAAGTTTGTTCAAATCAAGGGGAACAAGGGTAGGATGGGGTCACAATAGAGGATCAACATTTTACATTTAAAAAATCTTTAAACTATCTTTCTCTGAAGAACAGCAAAATCTGATTAAGACCAAGGTGATTCAGCTTAGCGTTGAGGCCCATGGACCTCTTGTTACGGTTACACTAGCGTTTATAGCCGTAATATAGGAGCTAAAAAAAATCAAGGGAAGAAAGGAAAACAACTTCAAAGGCATAATTTAAATCAAAACAGTTTTTTGTTTCTTTAGTTTCTCGGCGTTTTCCCTCTACACTCCAGTCATTCTTAATGTACTGTAAATGTCTCAACGACACACCGCCAACCTCTGGAAGAAATGACGCTCCTCAGGAACACAACTGGTTTCTTTTATTCAATTTCGTTGTCGAGGTGTGTCTCTCCCTTTAGCCAAAAACTCTTATTCCATGAAGAAATTGTTATTGTTCTTTAAGATTGTATCATATATAATTTATTATCCTACATATAACTAGATATTTCAAAAATTCAGTTGGTTACACAATATGTTGAACAAAACAGACATAGTGTTCATCATATCATTCGCCTCCAGAAGAATACACCATAGTTAATCAAACTCAACACAAATTAAACTATACAATAAATAAATATATAGTAATTAAATATAAACACAGAAATAAATAGAAAGTAATACTATATATCACAATGATGTGCTGAAACACAAATCTCATAGGATTAAAAAAAAAAAAAAAAAAAAAAAAAAAAAAAACCTGTTCTTTATAAATGGATTGACGAGCAACATAATACAGGTCATATTTGTCAGAGAAAATTAAAAAAAAAATCGAGTTTGCAACCAAAACTACGAATGAAATTAAAAAAAAGAAGTATCTGGCCGATTAAAAAGAACCTTACATTAGTTGCTAAGATTAGTTAACAACGTGGTTACACAACACAGTGGAGTTTCTGGGGCTACATAATTATATTGCTCACCTGAGGGAGAAATGTAACCTTGTTTTAGATACATGAATGAATGAATCATTAAACTAAAATAAAATACATTTAAGATATCTGAAATTTGTTTATGATCAGCCCAATTGCCCCGTTTCCACAGTATAGAAAAAATATATCCAATAGAATGTTGTTGGCAAGTTGCATGAACTACAAATTCATCTTTGCATTCTACATGTCAATTAAGAAATGTACATGTAATTGCCCACGGAGTGCCGTACTATTCAGAGATAACCTTCTGTGCAACAACACAAAAAGTGCACACAACATGAAACTGCACACTTTGTTCACAAGACTGAACTGATTTGATAATGACTTATATGGACATAGACTAGATTCTGAGCAAACCCTACCAGAACAAAAATGCATAAAATCAAGTCACGAATACAAAAAAAATCATTTGACAACACAACTTCTGTTGCAGGACTGTCAAAAATAAGATTTTTAGCGAGATATTGAAGAAATGTTTAATCCTATCTTCTGAGCACTTCTTGTTCCCTTATTTCATGGCACCCTAGTTTGGCAAAAACATTAATATCTTTCAAATTTGCTGACTCCATTTAATAACATGTGTACTGGAGTGATAAAATTTAAAAACTTCATTACGTGAGGAAATGTACTAAAGTCATTGTATGAATGAATATAAGTAACATCTATATCGTCATCGTCGCCGTAATTCTTGTGAATCATAAATCTCAGTCTGGCCCCACTTAATTAATCTATGCCGGTAACTCCATCTCTTTGGTCGTGAACCAGAATCATATCCGAGAACACTGGCTTGTAACAGGTATCCTTGCCTTTTTGTCCCTTCATCACTTAAAACTTTTTTTATATTCTTCACATAACTTAGAATTTCTATAAGTGTTGTCTATCTCATTTTAAAAGTAACAGTGCAGTGTTCTTTTTTATTTTCTTTGTCTTTTTCCTGATTTTCCTCCTTGATTCCAGGTTCAAATATGGACATTTCCGCGCTATTTGTGGACTCCTCTGGTGTCTTAGAAATCTCGTGTTCATGCTCAACAGGACAGCTGCGCTCGTGACGACTCTTAAGGTGGAAAGGCTGTATAGAGAATCTTCTGTGTGTTTGTTTCCTGCCTCCCCGACGCTTGGAAATATGGGGATTGTCTTTTCTCATAATTCTGGTTTTGTATACCTGTAGCTGGGTGTAAAGTCTTTTTAACTCTGCCTGAAAGAGAATTGTAAGGTTACAATCAACCATGGGCATACGAATGTATAATTTTATGTTAAATATCAAAACCCATCATGTTTAAATTTTACAGTGACAGAAATTCTGATTCCCATAAGTGTTGTCCTGCAGATGCCATACACAAGATACAAAAAAATTAAATCTTACTCGAATATCCTCTGGATCCATGTCGGCCAGACTGATTTCCGCCACATCTACGTCTCCATTTGAACTAATTCCTACATTTAGCTTCATAGACTCCGGAGACATGTTCTCTTGTACATCTGAAGAGGAATATGCCCGATTCCTATGATGATCAGGTGGACGATGAGCGTATAATAACTGTAAAAAACGTGGGAAATAAACGCTATGAAAATAAATTAAGAACTCATGGGCTACAACACTAACCTGAAACATATTTCTCTTATAATCCTGGTAATGGAATATGAAATGTAACGGTTTCTAAATACCTTTGGTCCAAACCCAACCAGAGGCTTCAAAGTTCTAGCAATTTTATTTTAGAGCAAAAACGCATTAAAAGGACAAATAATAGATTTGATACTCTTTAGAAGTACCGCGGTATATCGATTCGTTTTTCTTTCCGTTGTTCTGCTTGGACCCAGTGGCAATGAGGAAAAACTTAAATCTACACCTTTTCTGTATCCTATTTGTCTATTCTGATTACGATTGTCTTGGTTAAAACAAATCTTGGACTTGTTTTTTACTACGACTATGACCAAAAACTTAAGTTGACTGTAAAATTATTTTTCCTGTTAAAAATTGCTTGCTTTAAAATATCTTTCTAAATTTATTTAAAAAAAAAAAGATTAAAACCTTACTCAAATAACTGTAAAAATAAAAAGTTATTTGCAGAATGACATAATGGTTCTATTCGCAATTTCTTTGTAAAATGGGGCCCCGAATTTAGAGTACACTGGAATGCGTGTGCAATCCCGTATGTTTTAAAACAGATTATCCATATCCGACCCTTGTTTTGTCGCCAAACCTAGATCCAGGGGATATGATTTGAACAAATCTATAGAACATTAAATATTAACCAGAAGTCTCTGATGAGACTGTAGCTCTACTGGTCTGTACATATAACAAAGGAAAAGTAGCACTTGGATTTGAAACTTTGCAACATGCAGCAATAAATAGAATAATGTATCTTAATGTATTCTACTTGTGCGCCAAGTTATATTGAAATCAGACCAAAACTGAAGGAGGAGTAGCATTTTAAAGAAATTTCACAGAAATTTCTATTTTTAGTAACCACGGCAACACCGTTCGTCAAAATCAAAAACCGATGCACTAAATTATGCATCTTAGTGTAGTCTACTTGTGCGCCAAGTTATTTTAATATCAGAACAAAACTGAAGGAGGAATAGCCTTTTAAAGAAATTTCATAGAAATTTCTATTTTTAGTAACCATGACAACACTGTTCATCGAAATCAAAAACCGATGCACTAAATCATGTATCTTAGTGTAGTCTACTTGTGTGCCAAGTTATATTGAAATCAGACCAAAACTGTAGGAGAAGTAGCATTTTAAAGGAATTTCACAGAAATTTCTATTTTTAGTAACCATGGCAACACCGTTCATCGAAATCAAAAACCGATGCACTAAATTATATATCTTAGTGTAGTCTACTTGTGTACCAAGTTATATTGAAATCAGATCAAAACTGTAGGAGGAGTAGCATTTTAAAGGAATTTCGCAGAAATTTCTATTTTTAGTAACCATGGCAACACCATTCATTGAAATCAAAAACCGATGCGCTAAATTATGTATCTTAGTGTAGTCTACTTGTGTGCCAAGTTATATTGAAATCAGACCAAAACTGTAGGAGGAGTAGCGTTTTAAAGGAATTTCACAGAAATTTCTATTCTTAGTAACCATGGCAACACCGTTCATCGAAATCAAAAACCAATGCACTAAATTATGTATCTTAGTGTAGTCTACTTGTGCACCAAGTTATATTGAAATCAGACCAAAACTCTAGGAGGAATAGCGTTTTGAAAAATTGTTTACAGACAGACGGACAGACAGACAGACGGACGGACGGACGACTGACACCTTACTATCGCATAAGCTCTTCTGGTCTCTGACCAGTAGAGCTAAAAAGGACACACTGATGCAAGAGTCAAAATTAGCCGGTAAGCCTCATTTTTGGCAACTTCAAGTAGGGATTCAAAAATCATGCACGTACATGTACCAAGGGATGCAGGGATGGTAGAGTCAAGGGAAAAAACATTTCAATCGTTTATCGACAAATATGAGTGGATTTTCAAAAACTGTTTTGTCAATTATTAACTTGAAATATACAAAATCAGTGAGATATGAAAGATGAGGCTTGTCCATAAAGTTCTTGGATAATGACGTTTTTATCAAACTAAATGGTCATAAATAAACCTGCGATATACCAAAATATCAAAATATTTATGATGAAAATCCAAGTCCAAAAAGTTTGATTTTCATTGTTTGAGCTTCCTATTTTTCAAAAATCGCGGTTTTTAAAGGTCGCGGATAAAATGTACGAACGGCCTAGAATTAAAATAAGATAAACTTTGATTTGGGAAAAATGATTACTCTCTTCATAATACAAGCCAAAGCTGAATAACTATTAAATGTGCCTTAAATAAAGCGGCTGTCGTATTCTCTGATATCTTTACTACCTATTATAGTGTTATAAGACTGTACAGATAGTGGAAATATTTAGAAAGAAAATCGCAAGAACATGTTTCTAAAATTGACAGAAAAAGCGACATTAACTATTCAAATGGAACAGTGTCCAATTATTAAATTATGATTTAATATTGTTGAAACGACGTCAGAATAATTATTAATACAACTGAAAATTATTGAAATAAATTTAGTTCATTGCTTTGAAATTGATATATACAATATTTCAACGGTGTGTACAATTTTGGAGACACTACAAAAAGTAGAAAACTGTTATTTGAAGAAAAAAATGCTTTCCTTATTCATGATAATATAAAATGATCATGAATCTAGCGCAACGTCGGACTTGTAGTCTGTTTAAAACTTTCTAAATTCTTATTAAAATAAAAGAAAATGAAATTTGAGAAAGTGGGGGAAAATCCTGTTCAGAGTCCTACTTTCACCTCCCCGTGGTGAGCAAGGGAAACTGGTCTTATACATATGTATATATGTTGTACTTTAAATCAATCCAAAAGCCGCTGGCAATCGAAAGAGGCAATGTAGCGGCAATGTATACTTTAAAATGTAGAGGTAATGTAACCTTTTTTTTGCGGTATTGAGTATGTAGCGGTAATGAAAATGTAGCGGTAATGATACGCACCCGTAGCCTGTGTATACAAAATGTTTATAATGATGAAGCTCGTAAATTCTTGTGTATTGTTTTGAATTTTGAAAATTTACCCATATAAATTTTATCGCAAACATTTAGCAGTGTGGCATACGAAAGAAAAAAGCCCGTGTCCACGAATATGTCATAAAAATTCAAAATCAATATTCTTGACGTTGTTATGAAACTGGGCCTTGTGGCTTGCATATATCTGCATACAAAATATTTACACCTATACGTTCGTAAAACAGAGTGCATTGTTTTAGTTTTTAAACATTTACTAAATCATGGTCTATAGTAAGTATTTTCTACTCGTTCGGCAATATGATCATTATTAAAATTATAGCATTTGTCTACGAACACGAAGTGTATGGACAACCGTCGTTTATTAATTTTAGCATAATGTTTTTATGGTACAGCTAAAATCCATTAATCTATAGTTCTCTTTAATCTCTACCATTTTTGCAGTATCCTAGTCCGATTTCAAAAACATTTTGTTAACAAGATGTCTCTGATGAAACTGTAGCTCTACAATTGTGGGCTTATAATATTATTAGACAAAATTGCCCCAACATTAAATAGGTAAATACATAAAAACGTTTTACAGCTGTAAGAGATTGTATATCATGATGTAGTCTTTGTTGTGTACCAGGTTTTACTGAAATTGTATCGAACTTGTAGTAGAGACAGCGTAGATAGAAAAAAAAAATCCTCGTAAACATACATGTATTTCGAGTAACCATAAATCATCATTCATCAAAATCAGAAACCTTTAAACAGAATTATGTGTCTTACTATATACTTATTGAAATCAAACTTATTCTGTAGAAGTAAAGTTTTTTAAAAAAATCATATAATTTATTATTTTAATAATGTTCATCGAGCTCAGAACCTTTGTTTTTCTACTTGGTTGCCAAGTTATATTGAAATCAGACCAAAACTGAAGGGGGAATAACATTTTGTAAAAAACAAAAACAAAAACAAAAGAAAAACCAAAAAAAAAAACAAAAACAAAAACAAAAAAGAAAAAAAAAACAGACAGACAATATGGCGTTAGGCACTTTACCATTACATAAGCTCATCTGGTCTTTGACCAGTAAAGCTTAAGCGAGTTTCATTTCTGACATAATTTATTTTGTCAAATAAAAATCTTCAATATAACTATTGTAATAGACATATTGCAGAATTTTATTTGACAAAATAAAATATGTCAGAAAGGACATAAGTATTTCAAATTCGACTACACAACAATATATATTTTTTTTAAATTAAAACCTACATTGTAGCTCAGTGGCAGATGGTAAGAAATGTCGAAATATTGATAAAGACACAAATATTGTGGTACTTGTTCATTGGACACAATAAAATAGTATTTGGTCCAATTAGCACTTAATGATTTTACAATGATTTTTGCTGCAGCTATAAAAGCTGCTCTGAGCGCTTACCTTGGGTCCGAACACTAGCAGTAAAGTAATGGTTACTGTAAGCTGGCATCGAACGAAGGACATAAGGAACAAATAGTCGGGGTGCAAATCTGTCCAATATACATGTCTGAAAGATAAAAAGCCATGAATTTGTTTACCTAAGTCAGTAATAACAGTAAAATATATGTGGATAATCATCTCTGATCAATCTCTCCTCTGTTAGCTTACTCCAAGATTCAATGGTTTTGACCATTGATTTCTGTTCCTAAAACACAGGCAACACGCGGTTTATATAGAAATGGATGCAATTAAAATTTAGCACTCATTGGTTAGCAAATTTGTACCTCTGTTATATATAGGTTTAAATATGAGCAATCTCTATTCAATTTGCCTTTCTTTGCTTTAATATCAAATAATACGATTTGTAAGGCAATGTAAGCAGAGAAGGATAGTGTGACTTTTTGTATGAAATACAAAAAGCAAATAATTGTGTTTCTCTTTTGACGAAATTGTTCTTTCCATGAAGATTACATTACATGTAAGGATGCCTTTGAGGGTATCCTTGCAGACAAAAATGTACATGGACATGGTCCAAACATTGGTCATCCTTACTACAGCAATGCTTGTAAAACTTGTAACTCCAATTTAATGTATATAAATGCTGGAAGTAAAGCACTGTTTGCCTATCTAGTCAGTATGACGTACTCTCGTTACAGTACATCCCGATCCGCTCAGTTATAAAAACCTCAATCTGGACGACATTTAAGATTTAATGAAGTCAAATTGTCCATCTGTTTTATAAAATATGAGAAGCTACGAGATAAGAAAGGTTGCAGGTATTAAATTGATTATACACGAGCCTCATACGTGTTCACATTCTGGCCAATACTATGTGCAGAAGCACAGGAAAGAAACTACCGTGAACTTGCAGGATTGTGTTTCCTAATGAGACTCAATTCTCAATTAGATTTATCCTTGATATATTTCTCAACCCTTTGCAGACAGCAACGATAATATTCTACGTTTAGTAATGCGTGACATTATATTCACGATGTAGATTTGTTATCCAGTTCGGCACAAATGCGGCCGTCAACGACAAAATCTAGGGGGAAAATCCATTGCTATTCCTTTTGAGTGCAGTATTCGTTTAATAATATTTCACAGAAATGATAGTATTTCACAGTGCCGAAAGACATCGTTTTAAAACAAATGCAAGACAGGTCGTTAACCCGAGGGGAAGCAGACATGAGGGGCAAAGAAAGAAAATCCAAACTAAATTAAGGGGGAAAAAATTTAATTTCAAAACTTTAATATGGCAAGGTTTGTCAGATACACAAAACATATATACAGTAGTATACTGATACATTTTATTTAGAAATGTTATTTTTATTTCAGTATAAGAAGCAATTTGGCTGATTTATGTGAAATATTGCATATACGACTAGCAAATAAACGGGTATTTTTATTATACTGATCAATAATAATCATCCTAGTTGCAACTTTGCATATACCTAAGGTACAATAAAGAATTAATTGAATTTTGTTCATTTCTTTTACAATATTTCCTTAACTAATAGGGGGGGGGGGTGTTTTATTTGTATGAATCAATTTTCAAAACTTACGATTCATAAAGAGCAAACAAGGCATTTCGGCACAAATATGGCCGTCAAAAAAATCTAAGGGAAAAGGCAAAAAAGAACGATAACATTGTTCCAGGATGTAGTGCTACATGTATGAACGCAGCTGAGCACGTAGATAGATTGCTCCATGGTACAGCTATTAACATTAGCCGAATACTGTAGAGACATTCACATTAGTTGAGAACTCTTTAAGTTTACTCCAAGGTAGAGCTATTAACAATAGCTGAAAACTAAAAAAAAAAGTGTGGCTATTAACTTGAGCCAAAAACTCTTTCCGTTTGCTGTAGAGCTATTAACATTAGCCTATAACTCTTAAGTTTGCCAAGGGTAGAGATATCAACATTTGCCTAGAACTCTTAAGTTTGCTGTAGAACTACCAAGTTTAGCCTAGAAATCTTCAAGTTTGTTAAAGGGTAGGGCTATTAACCTTATGTAGAGATACTAGACTTCTTTAAGTTTACCAAAGGCAGAGATATTAACGTTAGCCAAGAGCTCTTAGTTTGCTAAAGGGTAGAACTTTTGCTATTCCTTTTGAGTGCAGTAATTGATAATATATATTATCATCCTTGATAATATTATTACATAATTACATATGTAATACATAATTAATAATAATTATAAATCATTATTATAAATTATAAATTATATAGAGCTTTGAGCTCTTTAAATTTTCTGTAGAGCTACTAAGGTGATAGCCTAGAACTCTTTAAGTTTGCAGTAGAGCTACTAAAGTTAATCAGAACTCTGTGATTATTAGCGGATAATTATTAAGCTTGCTAGGTTGGAGCTTTGGACGTACCTGAGAACATAGAATACAATGGAAATGACGGCTTCGTAACAGATAGCTGCCGTTATGTAAGTCCCCTCTGCAAAGTCTGATGGTGCAGACCGAACACGGTAGCACAAATAGATCCCAAATAATAAAAACAGCAACTCCGCTACAAAAGCAAGTCACAAAATATTCTGTGAGAGATATGTAAAAGGCAGATTTTTTTTTAAGTATTTATGAACATTTTATGACGTTTATGTAAATATTTCTTATAATGACTCTAAAAGAGGTTTTAAAAATTAGGTACATACATTAAGAATGCAAAAAATAAAGCTCTTTTTTTTAGGTTTATGTTATAATTCAACTTACAACATATATTCAGGTACTTACCTATTTCTACAACATACTCCCACCAACCAGATTTACACACTATATATTTTAAATTGTCTTTGGTAACACCATATTCTAATATAACTTCTCCTGTGTTAATATGATCATAGGTCACTGTGGTCCATGCGGACATATACCCTAGCACAACTATTATAACACAACACAAATATTTAAGTAGGTCTTTGTCTCTAACGTGCACACGATGAGCTTTCCTAGACTGGAACTCGGATAAAAGCCTGAAAGTAAATTAGTTACAGATAGTTCAAAAGTATTTTGATCAATCTACAAAAGTACAGTCAAATGTGATTTTTTCCCCCAATTTTTAAAATCTTTTCCCCCAAGGACAATGTCAAACATGCTTATGTATCACTGGTGACATCAAATTGCGCAAAAGGACAGTTTTTCAGTTTTATGTTTATTTTACGCCAGTTAACAACTGTCTTTATGAATTCTTTACTGAACAACTTCATGCATATAAAGAAATATGCAAAACTGTTCTGTTAAAAAGCATTCTGATTGTACACACAAGTTCTCTGAAGTTGACATTAAAAAGATGCTTGAGTTTCTGATTGACAATCTGTTGGAATTCCCATGGGTACCAATTGCGCCCCGTCATTAGCAGACCTTTTTTTGTATTCATATGAAGTAGAATTTGTCCAAAGTCTTATACGTGAAAAGAAGAAAACACTTGCTTTGGCCTTCAACTCGACATTTAGATATATAAACGACGTATTGTCAATTAACAATGGTTATTTCCATTCTTATGTCGATACGATATAACCCGGTGAGCTTGAGTTAAAAGATACCACAGAGTCTGACACATCTGTTTCATATTTGGATATTTTACTTGAAAAAGACGTTAATGGTAATCTAACAGCCAAGCTTTATGATAAACGTGATGGCTTTATCCTTTCAATCGTCAACTTCCTTTACTTATGCAGCAATATACCTTCATCACCTGCATACGGGATTTATATCTCTCAGTTGATTCGATACGCCAGAGCATGCTCTACGTATGTACAATTTCTAAAACGAGGTAAATTATTGACAAACAAGTTGATGAAACAAGAATATCAGTAATCTCGTTTAAAGTCATCATTTCGTAACTTCTATGGTCGATACAATGACTTCGTCAGCAAATACAATTTATCATTGAGTCAAATGCTGACTGACGTTTTTCATACTAATTGTTAAGCCATTATTTACAAACTGAATTGTCGACGGATTTTACCGTTATTTCCCGATCATGACAAGGAGCACACGGCGAGTGTGACCGGTCGGCAGGGGATTCTCACTCCTCCATGACACCTGATCCCACCTCTGATGTTTTGGAGGCCCGTGTTTGCTCTGCTCCTTTTTTGTAATATTTAATGGACTTCTGATCTTGAATACTGTTCGTTATCTCCATATATTTCATGCATCTAAGACAAGTTAGCATTACACCTTTGTGATTCACTACAATATATTTTAAATTTGTAAAAACAACGGAAATTAATACCAATCTAGAGCAAAACGTTTGTTAAACACAATGCCCTGAGATGGCTATTTCTAATGATAAAATGACTCGGATTATACACTTTTTCTGCCAGTAACCTTGAACTTCCCTTAATGACCTGGGTCAGGTGCTTACACAGTTTCAGCTCATGAGAAATTTGTGTGCCAAGAATCAGCTTTCAATGTTTTTCCATTACAAGATATGGCTAGGGCAGGGGTTATTCTTTTTTCTAAAACTGACCTTGAACTTACCAAAATAACCTTGGTTCAAGGTCATGACAAACCTTTGCTCATAAGTTATCTTTGAGTGAAATATCATCAATGCTTTTCCATTAGAGAGTTTTGGACCAGCCTGGATTATACATTATTCTGATAAAAACCTTGAACTTGAACAAAAGACTTGGTCAAGGTCATGACACATCCTCATTTCATCAGAAAAGTCTGTGTGAAGTATCAATATCCAATGTTTCTTCAATAACAAGTTAAGAAGCAGTCATAAATTTCAATTTTTTTCTGCCAAATTCTTTGAACTTCCCCTTAATGAGAATGCTCAATTATGACAACCCCATCCCCACCCCAACAAGGTCGTAAGTACATGTAATCTTTGTTTCAACTCCAATGTGTCCTTACTGGAGAGATATGGACCACGCCAGTGACATTAATTTTTAAAGATGACCTTGGGTAATGAGATACTCATATCATAAACAATCTTTCGGTCAACTATAAGCTTTCAATGTGTCTCCATTACAAGGGATGGCCAGGACAGGAATTTTACTTTTTTTGGACTGACCTTGAACTTAATCAAATGACCTTGAGAAAAGGGTAAGAATATCGGATTTCGGGGCATAAAAATAAATAATTTATATAAAATCTACAATGTGCTAAATGTCTTTATTGTGAATGACTGTTGAAAATAATTAGATGAATGAAAGAAGTCGAACTCAAATATGAAGTGGTTTTAGAAGACACCACTTCTTACACAGTGTGTTAATAGTTACATGTGAATGAAAGAATATGGAGATACTAGTGTGCTTAAAGTCGTCGTTGTTGTTTGAAAATTCGTTTTAGAATAATTGTTTCTGATATATATTTTTGTGCTGACTATCAATCTCATACCCCATAAACCTACTCTTGAAATTATTGCAATTGGCTGCAAAACTTTAATAACTATCCAAAAGAAAATTACATCATACTGACAGCACATTTAACTTGAATTTTCTCTGTCTCTGGTCATCCATCAATATCAACAAAAAGCAACTTTGTATTCAATGTCAACGCTCGGACTGACACCAATTATTAATACACAAGTTCCATACAAATTCTCAGAGATAGTAACTGCTTTATAAACGAGTCTTTTGTCCGAATCAGTTCTCCTTTTCACATCATCAATCCCTCCTTTTCGCATCGGTAATAACATACTTCAAATATCTGCACTTTTTTTAAACACAAATAACACTTATTCATCAAGCTTAGTTGCAGGAGAATTCTCCTTAGACGTGTAATATTTTTGCTGCATGAGTGAGCCTTACAAACAAAGACAATATTGTTAAAATAACGGAGATTCACTTTAGAAATCACGTGGTTCTTATTCTTTGACTTTTTTCAAATCTCGCGCAAATCACATAATTCTTTAAAATTATCAATGATAAGGAAGTAAAAACCTTTAAATTTATATTGAATATTTCCAGGTGCTGATGATGACTTGTTAACTGTTTAGTTATAGGGGAAAATCAGCAATTGGATGGGGATGATCATCATCCTCCAAATGCTATAACTGCTTCATGTGTTGATTGAATAATTATGAAGAAGAATTATGTAACAAAATTATTTTCAGATATCCATGAGATGTGATGAAAGAATGTATACGCTATGTACACAAAGAACACTAATTTTACAAATATCCTGCTCTATCAAAATGTTTGGTCTAAAGTACGCCATGTTCACAAAAATTAAACTAAAATATAATACATTTAATATGATTGATTTTATGTTATTTTACGTCCCATTGAGTTTTTCACTTGTATAGAGACGTCATCATATACCGGTGAAGGACTTCAATTTTAGACCTTTACCCGGCACCCAAAGCCATTAAGCAGTGATCGAGGGATCTTTATCGTAGCAACGCCTACCGTGACAGGGGGCCTCGGTTTCCAAGGTTTCATCCGAAAGACCCGCAAATTTCACTTCAAAATGCCGAGCGCTTGCAAAGGAATATTTACCACCTATTTTTTATCGACTTATAGGTCTGATGCTCCCGTGGCTTGAACCCACAACCTTCCGATAGGTAGAGCGCTTTACCTACAGAAGTACCGTGACGGTCCATTTCGTACGATAAAGTAGATTACCATCTATTAAGTGTAGTTTGAGATGAATACTTTCCGTCATCAAGCTAACTATCCCATGCAGTATGTTTATCATTCTTTGTGGATACTGTATCCAACAGCGTTTTGTTTTCTAAAATGTACTAAAAACGCATAATTCTTTCAACTGTTCAAGATGTTAAATATTTGCTAATTAATATTGCTAACTAATATTAATTTACACAACGTAAGTACATTTTTTATTATGAAACTATATTATTTTTAGGCCATTTTGACCCCAGGACACTGGCTAAAGAATATCATCATTTTACATGGGTCATCAATATTTTAAACATTTAATTTAATGATAGAGACGTAATTAATAGTTAAAGTGTATATCACTGAGAGAGTTCATTCCTTCTCATTACATATATCTATACTTATAAATTAATAAATTTTGCAAATAAACTTCGAAACGGGTGCACCAGAGTTCTTACTCACTCCTCTAAGAATACACTAGATACAAGATGATGTCCGTAAACTATATTTAGATTTCACTCGCATAGTAAGTATTGTACATTAAATTAAAAGTCTACTTTCATTTTCTATAAACATCCATGAAATAGCAAAAACGTGAGTATGGTGGTGTTTCCGGTTGGCGGATCTAAGTTACTGGCAATTTTTTTATGAAACTGACAACAAGCAAGCGTTTATTTATTTCATAAAACGTCATTACTGAATTATTCAATCAAAACTTGATTTAAATGATATAAAAGAAATAATTTGTGATGACCGATTAAAAAGGGAAATGTGCATATTATTTTCGTCATTCTCAGATCTTGATATTGACAGAAGCTTCTAGAACATCATATAGCATCGAACCCGATGTTAAAAAGAAAAATGAGGCGATTATAGCTGCAGGAACATAAAAAAAGCTTTTGCGTGAATGGTCATTGAAATAATGGTAAATCATTGATAACACTATAAGTTGTGAATATATTTATATATCGAAAGACTATTACAAATATGTAGTAGGTTTTCATTATAAATTTATCGGTAAAATTTGTATATATTCCTCAGTGAGAGCATCGTGGCAACGAACCCGAAGTACAATTTTACTTCGTAATAAACTTGCTTACATGAAAAGACAAAATAAGTGAATAAGGTATTATCAATTACAATAAAAGCTGTAAAATTTTGCGCTTTCATCAATACATTTCAGATTTTTTTTCTGAATACAGTCTTTTGTATCAAATACTCGGCCTATTCATATGGCGTTAAAAGATAATTTTTACACAGGTACTTGGGTCTTGGTTTATAAATATGTACGTATGTACCTTATCGATATGTAAAAAAAAAGTAAAGTACATTTTTTACATATCAATAAGGTACATACATATTTATAAACCGAGACCCAAGTAACTGTGAATTCCCCCCCCCCCCTCCTTCAAAAAAAAAAAAATCAATTTATCAGTAAAATGTCCATATTCGTTGCTTTCTCCTTGACAGAAATGAAATATGAGCATCTGAAGTACAATATCCATAACATAGTACATGTATAACAGGTTTCACAATAAACGTCAATTAATGAACTTTTTATTTTTCAATTTTTTACAAAGGGGTGGGGGGGGGGGGGTGGAGACGTACATCTTCATGCGGGATTTTGAACAAAGTATTTCTTCCTGCTGTAAACCTGTAGGCTGTCAGTAGAAACTACAATATTTTTTCTGTCGGTAGTGGTATAAATTCAATTCCCCGCGCTTGCGCGGGATTTCATCTAGTGTACATATATATCTCCACTTTATAACATTTTTTTTTTTTTTTTTTTTGTTTATTGTAATTTTTTCGTTCTATGTATAATTCTAATTTTTGTAATGGAGGAAATAAAAGATGAATGAATGAATGAAGCAAGATTCTGCTTCCTGGACACCAGTTCCATCTTCCGAGGCGAAGCCGAATAAAATAGGTCTGATCAAAGGGAACCACAATCTTGCCAACTCACACATTGATATATGGTGCATTAACACTTTAACTTTTTTATTATGGAGATACAAAAGTTAACAAGGTTCCACCGATAAAGTAACTGATCGACAACTAGTTTTAGCTCTACTGGTCAGAGACCAGAAGAGCTTATGCGATAGTAAGGTGTCTGTCGTCCGTCCGTCCGTCTGTCTGTCTGTCTGTAAACAATTTTTCAAAACACTACTCCTCCTACAGTTTTGGTCCGATTTCAATATAACTTGGCACACAAGTAGACTACACTAAGATACATAATTATTCCATCGGTTTTTGATTTTGATGGACGGTGTTGCCATGGTTACTAAAAATAGAAATTTCTGTGAAATTACTTTAAAACGCTACTCCTCCTACAGTTTTGGTCTGATTTTAATATAACTTGGCACACAAGTAGACTACACTAAGATACATAATTTAGTGCATCGGTTTTTGATTTCAATGGACGGTGTTGCCATGGTTACTAAAAATAGAAATTTCTGTGAAATTCCTTTAAAACGCAACTCCTCCTAAAGTTTTGGTCTGATTTCAATATAACTTGGCATACAAGTAGACTACACTAAGATACATAATTTACTCCATCGGTTTTTGATTTCGATGAACGGTGTTGCCATGGTTACTAAAAATAGAAATTTCTGTGAAATTACTTTAAGACGCTACTCCTGCTACAGTTTTAGTCTGCTTTTAATATAATTAGGCATACAAGAAGACTATACTAAGATACATGATTTAATGCATTGGTTTTTGAATTCAATGAACAGTGTTGCAATGGTTACTTAAAATAGATATTTTGTGAAATTCCCATAAAACGTTACTCCTCCTACAATTTTGGTCTGATTTCAATCTAATTTGGCACACAGTTAGAATACACTACGATACATAATATGTATTTCTGTTTTTTTTTTTTATTTCGGTGAATGGTGTTGTCATGGTTACTAAAAATAGAAATTTCTGTGAAATTACTTTAAAACGCTACTCCTCCTACAGTTTTCGTTTGATTTTAATATAACTTGGCACAGAAGTAGACTACATTAAGATACATAATTCTATTTATTGTTGCATGTTGCAAAGTTTCAAATCCAAGTGCTACTTTTCTTTTGTTACTAGGTGAAATCCCGAGCAAGCGCGGGGAATTGAATTTATCCCACTACCGACAGAAAATATATTGTAGTTTTTACTGACAGCCTACAGGGTTAAAGCAGGAAGAAATACTTTGTTCAAAATCCCGCATGCCTCCACCCCATCCCCCCCCCCCTCCCCATCCCCACCCCTTTTGTAAAAACTTGAAAAAATAATAATTTCAGTCATTGTTGTTTATTGTGAATCCTTTTATACTATGTTATGGATATTGTACTTCAGATGCTCTTATTTCATTTCCGTCAAGGATAAAAGCAGCGAATATGCACATTTTACTGATAATTAAATTGATTAATATTGTTTTTTTTTTTGGGGGGGGGGGGGGGGTAAAAATTCACAGGTACTTGGGTCTTGGTTTATAAATATGTATGTACCTTATTGATATGTAAAAATGTACTTTACCTTTTCTACATATCAATAAGGTATATAAATATATATAAACCAAGACGCAAGTATCTGTGTAAAAATTAGCTTTTAACGCCCTATAAATAGGCCGAGTATTTGATACAAAAGACTGTAATTAGACATTAAAACTGAAATGTATTGATTAAAGCACAAAATTTTACAGCTTTAATTGTAATTGAACAATATCTTATTCATTATTTTTCTCTTTTCAAGTAAGCAAGTTTATTACGAAGTAGAAATTGTACTTCGGGTTCGTTGCCACGATGCTCTCAGTGAGGAATATATACACATTTTACCGATAAATTTATTAGGAAAACCCACTACATATATGTAGTAGTCTTTCGATGTATAAACATTTCGATGTATATATATTCACAACTTATAGTGTTATCAATGATTTACCGTTATTTGAATCACTATTCACACAAAAGCTTTTTTTTTATGTTCCTGCAGCTATAATCGTCTCGTTTTTCTTTTTAACATCGGGCTCGATGCTATATGATGTTCTAGAAGCTTCCGTCAATATTAAGATCGGTGAATGACAAAAATAATTTGAACATTTCCCTTTTAATCGGTTATCACAACTTATTTCTTTTATGTCATTTAAATCAAGTTTTGATTGAATAATGCAGTGATGACGTTTTATGAAATAAATAAACGATTGCTTGTTTTCAGTTTCATTGAAAATTGCCAGAAACTTAGATCCGCCAACCGGAAACGCCACCGTACTCACGTTTTTGCTATTTCATGGCTGTTTAGAGAAAATAAAAGTAGACTTTTAATTTAATGTACGATACTTACAACGCGAGTGAAATCTAATTATAGTTTACGGACATCATATTGTATCAAGTGTATTCTTAGAGGAGTAAGTAAAAACTCTGCTGCATCCGTTTCGGAGTTTATTTGCAAAATTTATTAATTTATAAGTATAAGATACGTACAGACCAGTAGAGCTACAGTCTCATCAGAGACTTCTGGTTAAAATTGTCCTCTGCCGGCTAAAGTTCTATGTTAGCTCCAACCACAACGTTTTTGATTGGCCGATCTTAAAAGTAGATCTTGGACTATGAAAATAACACCTCTTTGGGGGGGGGGGGGGTAAATTTTGTTAGTGATTAAGCAAAAAATAATATATTGATTTATAGAAGAAACTCGGTAAAAGCATAATGAATGTGATTGTATCCAGAAAGTTAGTGATTGGGAAAGGGTTGTTACATGATACCTGTATGATCTTGGGCAAACCTGGAATTGGTTTGGACTTACGTGACCATAATTTTACAGTTTGATGAGGACTCCATAATAATTATTTGTGCTACAGTAGTTCATAGTTAAAGTAGATCTTCCGAAATGAAAGAAACACTCGCAGATTGGAAAGAAAATCAACACTTTTTTTTAAGGGAAATATTCTTCCAGGTAAAAAGAGAAGATAAATTAAGAAAAATCATTTTTAGATAATACGTAAAATATACCTGTATACTTTTAAAACGAGTGATCCGTATACAACTGCAAACCCCATTTCCCTAAACCAGGGAATCATTATGCAAACGGTCGTTGTCGGCTTGAAGTACTGTATAATTATCTGAAAATATGGAAAAACAGATCACTTGAAAGCAGTGTGGGTGTGTGTGTATTATCACAGTTTTAGTTCAACAGAAATGGAGGAAAACAATAATAATCCATATGAAATCAAATGAAATGTGTTCAATCATGATGAGGCACCATAAATAAGTACATATATATACATTAACATATCCATTATGAGACACACAATAGGAAAAATATTTTTTAAGCTTAACGAGGTTCGCTCCTGAGCTTTTGAGCAGATTTTCATTTTAACCTATATTTAAAAAATTCTGGATAATGTTTTAATTATTACAATAAATTTGGATTCTACAATGCCAAATAAACTATATTCAGTTAAAACTCCATGATTAAATTCCATACCAAAAGCATTAAGTGAGGAACTATATTTTGTGGCGGAAGGTTTTTTAGAAGAAAATGATAACTTTTTCTCTTTCGAAGTATTTAAAGTATGTTAAGTTTGAATTCCTATTTTTACATGCAGTCTGCACACAGAGTTATTTTGTGAATTGAACTGTTTTATACTGGTCCTAAATTATATATTTAATAAAGTGTCATGAATTCTATCATCATATTTGATAAATATAGAGAATATATTGTGAAAATCAAGGAAAAAAATAACCCTAATTTAAGCTCAAAACTAGCACTGTTTTAATAATATCTAAAAATTAACATCACAGACCCCCACTTTTAACTTTCTTTTCTGAATATATAAGATACTTTTAACCACTCTTCTTAAATTCAGTAAAATGGCATTACTTTTCACTGATTGTTTGCTTGTTAAATTATTAATGCTAGCAAAATGAAATTTTTTGAGTGCAAAAAGGTCAAATAATTGAACATGCAGAGCAATTTGAAAATTTTTTCGTTGTCAAAAATTTTAATGGATCTATTCAAGATGAAATAAGACTGTGTTTGTTCCCATAACTTATTTGAATAAAAAATATTGGAGGAAAAACTGTAAAAAAGGATTTATGTGTAAGACGTATTTACAGTGCAAAAAGGTCAAACTAAATGCTCTGTAGCGCCAAAAGAAGCGCATTGACCCCCATTTTTTGTTTGATTTTTAAGCTATGTGTATAAATTCTAAAATATACTTGATAAAAAATTCTCATTACTTTTGATGTCAGGATCCAACCTCCTTAAAATCTAAATCCAAAGGGTCAATGTTCATGTTAAGTAAAAGAACAACTTTTGTATGGGTCTAAAAGCAAAGCAAATACTTCAAAGTAAATCATCTTTGAAAAGGCTTGTTTCAAATCTAGAATTTAAATGACAGCATTTACGAAGAACAAAACAGGCCCGTAGGAACCAATTTTAGTTCGGGGGGGGGGGGGGGGGGCACAGCCATACATTTTCAGTTGAGGGGGCACTATCAACCAAAAATTCCTTGACAAGCAAAAAAAAAAAAAAAAAAAAAAAAAAAAAACACATGTAGTAGCTCTGTTTTCTATAGTCATCTATATATCGGCAAAATTATTGGGGGGGGGGGGGGGGGGGGGGGCTGGTTCCTCCGGCCATGCAAAATGATGTCATTAATTTGCTTATTTCATCAATTTAATGTGTTCTACCGATTTTTTTTTTTTTCAATAAATATAAGGAACATGTAGTTTCACTAACAGAAGTGTCCAAATTTTAATGAAAATTCGTTTAAAAGATGATGCCAATTTATACAATGCATGTACTTGGTTAATCTTAATCAATACCAATTTTAATCAGCGCTTTATTTTAGGTACTAAGCAAAACTAAAAGGATTAAGTTTTGATTAGTACTAGTATGTTATTACTGACACATCAGTTAATGTTTGGTATATGTAGAGGCCTCAAGACCATAAACTGAGAACAAACTTAAGTCAAAATTTTGATTTTGAATATCTTGAGTTTTATTTAACATATGTGCTTAAAAATTTGCAGGTATGTATCATATTCAAGTTCAAATATATGTTGAAAATTTTGTTTCATTATCAAAATTACTTCAAAAGTTATATTGATTTTAAATTTTGACTTCAGTCTGTTTTCAGTTTATGGTCTTGGGGCCTGGACTTATTTGATAGTACTCCTAGCATTGACATTGTGTATAATGTGACTGCTTCTTGATATTTATAAATAGAAGCAGAGGAAAATTAACCCACAAATACGCTATCAATATGATTTAATATTCAGCAAACTCTTATAAATGTGGCTAATGATTAATAAATCGTGTAATGAAGGGCAAAGAATTTATAGTAAACGCTGGTTAAGAGGAAAACAACATCTGTATTGCTTGGATTTTCTTTCATACTATAAACATGAATGACGTGATTTTCATAAGCTCATTCTACGCTAGTAGCACCTCCATTAACCATATTTTTCTATCCACAATCACACAAGTATTTCACGACATATAAGAATGACGACATATGTAGATGCATTTCATTCGTAGTTGCATTGTGCAACATTTTCGGTCCTACTAATTATTTATTTACCCGCCGGCCGGTACTTTTCACAAGCCTCAAAATCCCAGTCATTGTTCTTGGAACACATTTTCCAAAAAAATTGAAGAATAGTTTGGTTTTTTTCGTAGACGGTATAATTCTGAAAACATTAAAATTCATTCCTCGTGGGACCGCCTCCATTATCAAGATTCTTAGTAGATTGGCCTTTACATATATCTCTTTTCCCTAAATCTGATTGATATTATATTGTTTACTAATAAGTTGCTGTCCTTCAAAAAGAACTACAATACGTGGGCCATAAGCTTGTGTTTCTAACAGTAATCTAAAAGAAATTCTCGGTTGTAATGAAAAATCTGTTATAAGAAAGATTTCTGTTATCTTGAAACATGTAAATTTTTCATTATAATTTAACGTTTAAGTCTAATTAGTAAAACTGTAATAATGAATGATAGAAGAATGCACATCCTGGATATCAATACTTGATCAAGGTATCTATTGTTTACTGTATGTAGCCTTGATCTTTAAATGAGGTGTTCCATTCATCACATATAACCCAACTGTTTTGCTCGAGCTCAGATTTTAAAATATTGTCCAGTTTTTAGCAGTGTTGTTCTCCTTGAAAGTGACATTTGTTGAAGATAACATACATTGTATGATTCCAGACCTGAAGGACGGGGGGGGGGGGGGTTTACCCCCACCTTCCCAATAATTTTTGGCAGTATATACTTTACTATGGAAAACGAGGGTAATTTACAGGTTTGTCCCTCAACATTGTTTATGCCAGTATAAACTATACATTAGAAATCAAAGCTTATTTACGTCGTACCCCCTCAAGAAACGTCAGACAAACTTTTTTCCTTATAAGAATTTGCAGGTTCTTACCCACCCCAAACTGAAATTGCGCCCTACGAACCTGGATGGACAAAACTGTTGCCAGTGAAGACTGTTCTATCTTTTAAAGCTTAGGCGTTGAATTTAGTTTTTGATTCAAGTCGAAAGCTATCTAAATTCTTCCTCCTTTTTTAAAATGTTTGTACCATAGAAACTCCAATCTTATTAATTTTTTTATATACATAACTACAGTAAAATATGTTTTGTTTACATATAAGACTATATGTATAAAAGAATAGATTCAGATCTTGGATACGCTAGTGAATACGATGTACGGATTTTAAGGGAGGTTTGCCAATAATTGGCAAGTTCAAATTCAAATAGGGCGAATTGTCCAACGGGCAAGTTGTCCTAGAGGCGAACCGTCTAGCATTATCGCGCATGCGTATCCTGAAGTAAGCCCACAGCATCGGTTTTAACTCTCTGATACATTTTCTGAGTGGACCTAAGGGTCCACGCAACTAACTATTTTTAGCGGTTAAAGTTTATATAACCGGTTTTTGAAACTTTTTAGTTTCTCTGGCGGCTTCAAATGAGCTTACTTTTTTTCTCCCAAAACCAGAGAAACGATCTTTTAATGCCAAGGGGGATGTAATCCTTGACATGGGGACCAATTAACGACCCATCTGATAGACTTTAAATTTAAAAATATGTAAACAGTTAAAATGTATGTTTGATCTACGTTTTTACCAACTAAATTGCTCAAAGAAAAATTGTCAGAGAGAATTTACATAATTTTTTACAAAATATCTTAAATCAGTGTATGGATTTTAAAACATGCAATCCGACACTGAAGTACCATTTTGCAGAACTATCAGCCTAGGTGTCTCTAGGGATGCCAAAATGAACCGGAATTCAACAGAAGTCAACTATTTTACCTTTTCGACCAATGATAATAAAAAATGAATTTGCATAATTTTTTGTAAAAACTTAACTTTTCAAACCATTAAAACGTGTTCATACATCATATAAAATTAGTATAAAGCTGTTTATTAATTTTGTTTCATGAACAACAGACATAGTCGAGATTTTTGCTACTTCATTTTTGGCACTAACAGAAGATCTAGATGAGCACATTCGAAGCACTGACCTAATATTGTGTGCACTGGAGGATTCGAAGAGCGTTAAATAAAACAACATTAGTTTATCAAAAAATCATTAAAATTAAAAAAAAAAAATGAGATGATCAACGGATGAGTGTTTCATTTTGCCCCACGGTCGGTTGGAAAATGAAATGTTGAAAATTTGTATGTTTTCACTTTCAAAACTCTAGCTGGAATTAATTCAAAGTTATCATTGAATTAACATCAGCATTTTGTTAGGTGCAAACTACTCGAACATATATCCCTTCAAGTCAAGAAAGTACGTTAAACATCGTACGTAGCCATATCGGCATTACTTTGGATTACATAACATGAAATGTGGCGTCACCGAATATCTCCTCGTTATTATGTAGTGAGACAAAATGTTTTATTTACTGAACCATGTCCTCAACTGAACCGACAAAATCATTTACAGGGCATTTCCTACCTTGGCTACACGTGTATGTATATTTTTTAGAAAATATTTATTTTAGACATCGTTATCCTATTTTGTACATTAGACTAGTCTATAACTTGGAAAAAATAATCATTCTTTTCCAACAGTCGGAAACAAAACCTGAAACACAATCC